ACCAAGTACGTGTCGTGGTCCTTGGTCTCACCTACGCATTAATAGGTAAGTGGTCACAAGTCAGCTAGCTGTTTAATACTAGTTGCAGACTAAGCCGTGCACGTTGTCATCCTCACCTGTAACCTTCGACGCGACAAGGGGTGCGTTGCCAGCGAAAAGCGTGCCGGACGACGTCGCCGTGGGGCTTAGCGGGTGCTCGATAGCTTTGATCGGCGACTTGTCGTCCAGGTTGGGCGCCGGTAGGGAGTCGAAATCGGCTGCGATCAAGTGGTGCTTCGGGAAGGCCGTGCGCAGCGTGTTCAGCAGCTGCATGGCGCCCGTGGGGACGAAGGCTGAGTGGAGCACTGGGTCGTCCTTGCCCAGCATGCGGCGCACGCGTTGGGCCAGCCCACTGTTGTTCTTGTACGACACGCGCAGCGGCAGCTCGCACCCAAAGTAGCGCAGCGTCTGGCGGATGAGCATGTCCTTGACGGGGCGCGTGGCCTCGCGCAGCAGCGGCGTCGCGTCGGTCTCACTCTCGCCCTGCTGCTGCATCAGCACGACGGTCTCGAACCACTTGCCGTTCTGCAGCGTGACCTTGTCGTGCGGCAGGTTGTCCAGCACCTCGAGCGCCAGGAAGAAGCACTGCGAGTTGACGGGCGCGTGCGTGTCCGCGAAGGTCAGGATGTCCTGGTTGAGCACCGTGCACTGCTGCGGGTGCGCGGCCTCGACGCGCTTGCGCTGCCGCTCGGCCATCACGGGGCTGATCTCGATGAGCGTGTACTTGGTCTTGGCGTACACGTCGGGCGCCTGCTGCTGCAGGAAGTCGAGAATGTGCAGCGCGTTGGACCCGGAGCCACCGCCGATCTCGAAGATCTCGAGCTGGTCCTGGCGCAGGAAGGGCGAGCTGAGCATGTAGCGCGCCAGCGCCTGCGAGTAGTGCGGCGCGAAGACCTCCACGGGCGTGAGCCACGCCTCGGGGCTCTCCTTGTACAGCTGCGCGACGACGTTGCGGTACTCGCCGGCGCCCCAGAGGTTGCCGAAGTCGATGCCCTGCGCTGGCGCGTGCAGCACCTCGCGCTGCGCCGTCGTGAAGTAGCCGGCCTCCTTGGCGTAGAGCGACGCGTAGATGAACTCGCGCGTGAGCACGCCTTCCTCCTCTGGGGCGTCTGCGGCGGCACTGGACGCCACGCCGCGCGCCAGGCATGCCGCCGGCCGCAGCCGGCGTCGAGCAGCGGTAGCGGCGCTACCGCTTAACATGTCAATCGCTGAAAAAAGGGGAAATCCTGTTTCGGGGCCGTATTTTTGAAATAATTCTGTTTCGGGGCCGTAATGTTCAATTGAAGCGTTATTCTTGGAACATACCTTGATTTGTAAAATATATGTAACGTACCCTGTAGCCCAAATGTATCCTGCTGCCAATGTGTTAACAGTAACGTATCTTGTTTTCCAAGTGTTACCTATCTCCCAATCGTACTCTGTAGCCTAAGTGTAGCCCGTAACCTAAGTGTAGCCTGTAGCCTAGTGTAGCCAAACGGGGATGTACGTAACACGCGGAGAATATTGCGCTGAATCGCATGAGGCTTTGATCCATCTATAGCGGCACCCTTCGAGGCGGTTATCGATATCGGAAGCCTTCTCAGCGGTTCCATTGCTCCTGTTCTTCTTCCGTATCTGAACACGCTTCTCCGATCGTCCGGTAAACGCGCTTCGGGCGGTCTTTCATTAGTAGAGGCAACTCGAAGCTCTTCTATCGACGCCACGCGCACTTCGTTCCCCTCCAGTCGCTAGCCCATCGCTTGGAGACATGTAAACAATAGAACCCAGCTGTGCTACACAAACAACCATTAGCACCTTCGTCCTTCATTCACAGAGGAAGCTGGCGGCGCAAACACACGCTCGCTGTGGTCGCGGTGGCTAACGGCGGAGCTCTCTCTCTCTCCGTCAGGTGTCGGGGCGCGGCGCTGCTTAAACGGGGGCATTGTCGCTCTTTTGGCTCGGTAAACCATCGTACTTAGCATACCCTGCTACCGGTACTACCAGTAGCTTACTGGTTATGTCACAACGATTGGTGGTCTTTAGTGGCCATGCAGGAAGTCAATTGCGATGGCTTCACCTGTGGGCGCGTCTAACGTAATAAGGAGATGCTTGAATTTGCAGTGGTTACCTATGTCGCGCGGGTACGTCTCCCTTTCAGCTGTACGGTATTAACATGCAGTGTATGGATACTGAATGCTGAATAGAAAGCGGATCTGTTGCTTACCTGTTGCTACCTGCTACAAGGTAATGGGTTGCCCGCTTCCAAACGTGCGAGAGCCACGAAAGCAACGGAAGAAGCACCAGAAAGATCCCGAGACTGCTATGCGAGGCGGTGTTATGCCATCGTAAGCTTGTATGGCACAGTTACGGGCTACACTAGGCTGCAGGCTACACTTAGGCTACAGGGTACACTTAGGCTACAGTTGGGAAACACGATACATGACAGAGTGCACATTGGCAACAGGATACACTTGGGCTACAGGGTACGTTATGGGTATTTTCCAAATCAAGGTATGTTCCAAGAATAACGCTTCAATTGATTTTTGTTTTGTTTTGTTTTGGCATTGAGGTACATTGTTGTCACTTAACTTCGTGGCTAACGACATCGATGACCTTGACGGAGGTATTTTCCAAATCAAGGTATGTTCCAAGAATAACGCTTCAATTGATGTTTTGTTTTGGCATTGAGGTACATTGTTGTCACTTAACTTCGTGTTTTGTTTTGGCATTGAGGTACATTGTTGTCACTTAACTTCGTGGCTAACGACATCGATGACCTTGACGGAGGTCGTCTCTAACCGATCTCCCTGCTTTATTACCCCTAGTGGCTACACACTCAGGGCTGCCCCCAACCGTTAAGGTGTGAAGGCCCCGAACCCCGAAGCGTTCTCATCGCTGATGTGCTCCAGCCAGTGCCCCACGTCACTGGCTGCGTAGGCATGAAGATCTTCCCAGATCGAGTCGGAGCCGATGACTCGAGTGGGTTTACATTGCATGCTACGCCGTGTATTCATCGCCAGGTTGGCGAGCGCATCGGCCATCTTGTTGAAATCGCGTATGTGATGCTGCCAGCTGATCACGGACAGTTGATCCGCAACCCGCCGACTTTGCCAGTATAGCTGAGTGAGGTGTTTAGCCTTTGGTGGTCGCCGCTTCTGCTGCTGATGGATGATAATTTTGCTATCCCCAGTGGTCTCCAATTGTGGCGATGACAGGCCTTTAACCCCATAGGCAGCCCCATGTTCTCTGCAATGTTGTTCGTTGTGGAAGGTGCCGCGTATGACATGCTGATAACCCAGCAGATTTCGAAAACACCCCACCCTTCGCCGACCCGAACCACTGCCGCTCCATTCCCTCCAGGCCCGGGAAAACAATTGAACATTACGGCCCCGAAACAGAATTATTTCAAAAATACGGCCCCGAAACAGGATTTCCCCAATAATATAAGGAGGTTGCACTTGAAATTTGTATTGAATCGATACCTACCTTTTGTGTGGGCACACATATTCCGGTCCGGGAATTAATCCCTATTGGGCTGTACGTACTACTGCCGTAGCACTACCAGGATAACCCGGTTAAATGAGAGGATTAACTTGATCTAACAGACAGACAGACAGATATCCGCCCGCAAAAACCAGGGAGAACGAGGAAGGTGAGGGAGACGCTACCGCCGCAGCTACCGCAGCTACAGCTAGGACCATGTCGAAGGCGTGCACCCTGGAGAACGGCGTGCTGAACCTGGCGGTGCTGCGCGAGGACTCGCGGCGCGAGCTGTTCTCGATCCTGGACTCGATCGGCAAGGACATCTGCTTCGTGCTGGACCCGGAGCTGAACGGGCCGCTGAACCACGTGCTCGTGGACGGCACGGCGGTGCTCAAGGACCACGGCGTGAAGGACTTCCACGCGTTCGGCAAGACGGTCAAGACCAGCTGCGAGTTCGTGCTCTTCCTCGTGCGGCCGTCGGTGCGCGCCATGCGCTACGTGGCTAAGTACATCCGCGACCTGGGCGCGAGCGGGTCCTCCTCGTCCAAGAAGCGCTTCCACCTGTACTACGTGAGCCGCCGCACGCTCGTGTGCGACGAGGTGCTCAAGAAGGAGGGCGTCTTCGGCAGCCTCAGCGTGGGCGAGTACAAGCTGGACCTCATCCCCTTCGACGACGACGTGCTCACGCTCGAGCTGGACGCGTGCTTCAAGGAGTTCTACGTGGACGGGGACAAGACCAACCTGCACACGGTCGCGGCCTCGCTTGTCAAGCTGCAGACCGTCTTCGGCATGATCCCGCACGTCAAGTACAAGGGCACCATGGCCAAGGTCATCTACCAGATGATGGTTCACTTCCGCCGCGAGCAGGAGGTGGCCGGCAACCCCATCGGCGTGCTGGACCCGGAGATCGACACGCTCGTGCTCATTGACCGGAACGTGGACCTCGTGACCCCCATGTGCTCCCCCATGACGTACGAGGGACTCCTCGACGAGATCCTCGGCATCACCCACGGGTTCATCACCGTGGACGCCGAGCTCATCGCCGACGATGACGGCCCCAACTCGGCCAACAGCAACCGACCCGCCCAAGTGTCCGTGCCGCTCAACTCGAACGACAAACTCTACGCGGAGGTGCGCGACTACCACGTCGAGCGTCTCGGCATGAACCTGCAGCAGCAGGCGCGCGAGATCCGCGAGCGCTACGACGAGTTCCGCAAGAACCGGGACGCCTCCATCAGCGAGATCCGCGAGTTCGTCAAGCGCATCCCAGGCCTCAAGCAGAACTACCAGTCGCTGCAGCAGCACATTAACTTGGCCGAGCTGATCAAGAAGACGACCGACTCCAAGAGCTTCCGTGACCTTAAGGACGCTGAGAACCTCGTGCTCACGGGGGATACGATTTTCGAGCAGCTGGAGGAGCGGATCGGTTTCCAGGAGCCGCTGCTTGGCGTGCTGCGCCAGTTCTGTCTGCAATCTGTCGCCGCGGGTGGCATCAAGACCAAGAACTACACGCACCTGAGTCGCGAGCTTGTGCAGACGTACGGCTTTGAGATGATGCTGGCGCTCAGCAACCTTGAGAAGGCAGGACTGCTCAGTCGGCGCGATACTCTGTGGACGGAGGCCAGCGGTTTTGGACTCGCTCGGAAAGCCTTCCGTCTGCTCAACGAGGATGTGGATCCGCGCAATCCGCGCGACATCGCCTATGTCAGTCGCAGTCACGCCGCCGGGTACGCCCCGCTGTCTGTGCGCATTGTTGAGAGCGCGATTAAGCCGCGCGGTTGGAGCGCCGTGCAGGAAGGCCTGCGTCAGCTACCTGGACCCTCGGGAGAAGTCACGCAGACTACAAGCAAGAATTCGAGCGAGGACCCGGCGGCGCCTGCTGCCGCGTCCAAGCTGGACAACTTCGGCAGCGAGGAACGCAAGGTGCTGCTCGTGTACTACCTGGGTGGTGTGACCTTCATGGAGATTGCTGCGCTGCGTCATCTGTCTCGCCAGCCTGACTGTGAGTTTTTCGCTTTGTTTTAGTCTTCTTGTCTGCAGCTTGTTTTTTCCTCACGTTTGGTTGTGTTTTCTGCTTGCACAGGCCCCTACGACATCATCGTGGCGACAACTAAAATCGTGAACGGCGACACGCTGCTCAAGTCGTGCTTTGACAAGGAGGTGCTGCGCTTCCTGAAGCTGTAACTCGTGCGCGGCTGACGGATAGAGGAAGGCAAAAGTATAACGTTTGCGTGGTTTTAGGTTTTGAATATGGTTGCCGCCCGAGGCATACATGTATTGTCTTCTCTGCTCATCGTCGTAGTGTTCCAACCGCGGTCTTGCCACCCTCCTTACGCTCGAGCTTGCAAATGTAAATGGCCTCGTCGTTGTACTCAATAGCATCCCCAGTGTTATTGCTGGAGCTCGAAGGACTCGAGTCTGCAGCGTAGACAGCAATGCTGAAGTGATTGGCAGCCGTCTCGAAGAAGACCTTTTCCTTGCTGGGGTTTGCAACAATGGTGAGGAAAGTACCATAATGCTCAACGGTGAACGAGGGGAATCTAGTACGTACGTTGGCAGGCGTTGCTTGTAGGCAAGCAGCACGACGGGATGTTGTCGTGGTTGCTCCTCGTCCTGCTGTCCGGGCTTCGAGGGGGTTGTCACGTCCAGCAAGGTTGAAAGAAAAGCGGAGTGGGAAGCTGACTCATACAGGCAGTCCGAAGCCACCACGACGTCGACCTGCCGGCCGGCAATGACAGCATCCGCAGGCTCGCCCCTACGGCAACACAAGTATTCACGTGAGCTCTCGGTGTGACCCACAGAGGGCTTATCAATCGCGGCACACCAGCACAGCGCGTGGACAGCTAAACGTTCGCTGGCTGCGAGTGAGGCCGCCGAAGCGTGTAGGGCCGCAGCAGCTCGAGCATTTGAGCAGGTCAGCGGCAAGACGCTCTCGAGATCCGTGAGCAGCAGCGAAGATACGTCGCCCGTGCTTGCGAGTGCCAGCCCCACCGCGCCTGGGCCTGCACCCAGCTCCAGTACATGTCGATGCGTTACGAGCTGCGGCTCGGCCTCGAAGAACGACACCATTGCACGCGCCTGTTAATGTCCGAAAGAGGAGAGAGAGAGTCAAAGAGGGCAGCGGCAACACCATCCCGAACGCACGCGATCCAGAGCAATGACACGCACGCAGTTCCACACGACGCCAGCAATGCCGTGCTTGGCCAGGTCCTGGCCGACGACCAACGACGACGGCGCAGTTTGCAGCTCAACCGTTGTGGAGGGAGCACTCGCCTGCACGTAGTTGACGCCGAGCTTCGGGCCTGTCGATGGATGCACTACTGCACGCTCAAAGAGAGCAGCCTCCCAGTGTTCATTCCAGCGCGGCATACTCTCTCCAGCAAGATGAAGAGTCACGACGAGATCCGCGCCATTTCGATACACAAACCACGGCATGTATTAATGCCACCAGGAGCTAGTTACTACAGGACTACGACCCCCTTCGCACTCATCTGCCTACCATCTACTGCAAGTGCGAGGAGGGCTGGACGCAACCCGGCCGGCCATGCCTACTCTCTCTCTTGACGCAATTTACTTCTGCTCCAGCTCGAGGCGGGCCAGGTGCAGCGAGCTCACGAGGCCGATGGCCGGGTGGAACGACGCGCGGATGTACTTCTCCACGGGCGGCTGCTGGCCGTACTTGTTCACGCGGGCCACGAACTTCTCGCGGATCAGGTCGAACAGCTTCTCGCGGCGCGCGATGCCGCCGCCGATCACGATCACGTCCGGGGACGTGATGAAGGTCACGTTGATGCACAGGTTGGCCAGGTAGTGCGCGATCGTGTCCCACACGGGGTCGTCGTCCGTGATGTTGGCCAGCTCGCGGCGGTCCACGCCCGTGCGCGCGGCGATGGAGCCCGAGGCCACCATGCCCTCGATGCAGTCGCCGTGGAACGGGCACACGCCCTTGAAGCCCGTCTCGACGTCCTGCGGCGCCTTGGGCACGATGATGTGGCCGCCCTCCGGGTGCATGAAGCCGTGGATGGCGCTGCCGTTCGTGCACACGCCGACGCCGACGCCCGTGCCCACCGTGATGTACACGGCGCTGCTGATATCGCCGTGGCCGCCGTACGCCACCTCGTACAGCGCCGGCGCGTTCACGTCCGTGTCGAAGCCGATGGGCACGTCCGGGAACGCGCGCTTGAACACGCCCACGACGTCCGTGTTGCCCCAGTTGGGCTTGGGCGTGCTCGTGATGTAGCCGTACGTGGGCGACTTCTTGTTGAGGTCCACGGGGCCGAACGACGCGATGCCGATCGAGTCGAACTTGCGCTCCTTGAGCCACGCCACGACGGCGCCCATGGTCTCGTCGGGCGTCGTCGTGTCCACCTCGAACTTCTCCAGGATGTTCTCCGGGTGGTCCTCGGAGATGGCCGCGACCCACGTGGTGCCGCCCACTTCGACTCCGGCGAAACGAGGCATCTTCTTGGTGCTTGGGGGGTGAGGGACTTGCTTGGGACTTGGGAAGTTCCAGAATGAGTCGTGAGTGGATCCACTCGGCGCGCGGCGTGGAGGTGACCCCCCCGCCCGGCGCACCTGAGGGGGAAGTACGGGCCAGCAGGACATCCGTCCCGATGGCTGCTTGGTCCCAACGTTCAAGCAGCTGTTTCGGGCGGGTCACTTAATTCCTCGCGCGGCCTCGGAATCCGAGTCGGATGGGGGATCAAGTTCAAGCGTCACAAAGAGGGAACGTGGCCTCGGCGCTCAAGGCTTCGGGCCCCGGGCCCGTGGCCCGGCCAGTGACCACCACCGAGCGGAAGCGTGTGCAATCCGCGTGGAAGCGCAAGCTCAAATCGGCCAGGAAGCACCGAGACCCGGCTGACTATGCGACAGCGGCCGGCATCTGGAACTTTTCACATGGGTTCTAAAGCCGGCGCCGCAAGATCAGGTTGCACCGCACGAGGTAACGCTGCTGGAAGTTCGCGGAGCGTGGCACTACGGTAGCTGATGAAGAGGGAGCGGAAATGCCGACCGCGACCGCTTTGAAGCATGGCGAAGAGAAGCAGCTGCAGCATTCGGCAGCTCGACAATCGCTATTGTACAGTATGGCCCGACGGTGGAGCGCCGCGTGGCGTACAGTGGCCGTGGGCGGGCTGCTGCTTGTAGTTTCCACTTGTAAACACCCTCTACGTCATGTTGTCGTGCGCGACCGGGTGCTAACACGCTTCAGTTTACTTGACCTTCCCCTACGATGCAGCATTGCAAAGTCACGCTCTCCACGGCGCCGCGCCGCGCAGCAACTTCATAGGCAGCTTTCGCTTTATGTGGTTGCCATACACGGCTCCGCGGCGGCAGCTCTGAATTGGCAGAGCAGGCGCTTCCCACATCGCACTGCCCAAAGTGAGCCCCATGCTTGTCAATCAAAGCCCGCGCGTGTCTATGAACTTCATCCTTGAAGTTCAAAGAGCCGGAACAACTTCAGAATCACATAGTCGCGGCGCAAGTACGTCAGCACGACTTCAACTCGAGCAAAGTATCTTCAAGCCCTCCAGACCTTCCTGCGTCTATCCGTTGCAGCAACCAGTTTCCAGACCATTCATTTGCATTTCGTTTCGTACCAAGCAAGCGCCACAACAACAAGACCTACTACAAGACCCACCCAACCCAAGACAATGCCTCGTTTCGCCGGAGTCGAAGTGGGCGGCACCACGTGGGTCGCGGCCATCGCCGAGGACCACCCGGAGAACATCCTGGAGAAGTTCGAGGTGGACACGACGACGCCCGACGAGACCATGGGCGCCGTCGTGGCGTGGCTCAAGGAGCGCAAGTTCGACTCGATCGGCATCGCGTCGTTCGGCCCCGTGGACCTCAACAAGAAGTCGCCCACGTACGGCTACATCACGAGCACGCCCAAGCCCAACTGGGGCAACACGGACGTCGTGGGCGTGTTCAAGCGCGCGTTCCCGGACGTGCCCATCGGCTTCGACACGGACGTGAACGCGCCGGCGCTGTACGAGGTGGCGTACGGCGGCCACGGCGATATCAGCAGCGCCGTGTACATCACGGTGGGCACGGGCGTCGGCGTCGGCGTGTGCACGAACGGCAGCGCCATCCACGGCTTCATGCACCCGGAGGGCGGCCACATCATCGTGCCCAAGGCGCCGCAGGACGTCGAGACGGGCTTCAAGGGCGTGTGCCCGTTCCACGGCGACTGCATCGAGGGCATGGTGGCCTCGGGCTCCATCGCCGCGCGCACGGGCGTGGACCGCCGCGAGCTGGCCAACATCACGGACGACGACCCCGTGTGGGACACGATCGCGCACTACCTGGCCAACCTGTGCATCAACGTGACCTTCATCACGTCCCCGGACGTGATCGTGATCGGCGGCGGCATCGCGCGCCGCGAGAAGCTGTTCGACCTGATCCGCGAGAAGTTCGTGGCCCGCGTGAACAAGTACGGCCAGCAGCCGCCCGTGGAGAAGTACATCCGCGCGTCGTTCCACCCGGCCATCGGCCTCGTGAGCTCGCTGCACCTGGCCCGCCTCGAGCTGGAGGCCGCCCCGTAAGAGCGCGCGTGATTCCGCACGACATAAACGCAACAAAGTTCGGCACTCTGCTGTGTAGGGGGCAGTGTGGTTTGATGGCGATCCCAATGTTTGACAAGGGTAGAGATCGACCCGCTGGATACGTTCAAGTGCGTTGGTGTCGCTGAGGTTGGTCCGGTATTGACTGGGATGACTGAATATACGTGAGTTCTGATCGTACAAAGATTTTAGCTGGCAGTGTATGGGTAAAGTAGTTGCCGTTGTGTGAACGCTGCAAGTCGGTAACTTGCTGGTGGAACAAGTTGACAAGGATAATGTCGGTTGTGTAGCCCATAGCTACGTAGCCTCATGGAATATACGGGCTGGCCCAGACCGCAATATGCTGCTGACCAGGCTTCAACCTGGCAGCCCGTGTTCAATCAGCACCTAGCCAAGTACCAGCTACATTAGCCGGCACCTTACTCAACGTGGTGAGCAGACTTCAGGTTTGCCGCGTGCTCCAAGCAGCAACCCCGCTCAAGGATGGTCGATATGCATGCACGTCTCGCTATAGATAAAACGAGGTCGGCGGATCTGTGAAACAGAAGACAACTTGAGTACTGCCGGTATAGCTGCAACACAGTGTTGCCAACGCGGAGGAGACAACTATCCTACTCATCAATTTTACCTATCTGCAAATCTCTGAAATACCCACTAACTTGTACAAATGACTTGCCTTCTCGCACTTTTCTTTTTCGACCGAGCCAAAAGATGGCGGACGCTCCCGACGCGCAAGACGCGCTGGCCTCGTACGTGGCGGCGCCCCCCCTCTGCCCCGCGCATTGCGCCCCCCTAACGGCCTCTTCCTCCCCGTCTCCTCCCCTCCGTCTGCGCAGGTTCATGAGCATCACGGGCGCCGACTCCGGCAGCGCGCTCCAGTTCCTCGAGGTATCGTCCAGAGCAGCTCTGTCCTAGAAATCCTGCCCACTTGACCAACTGATTTAACGCCGAAACTCCGCGTGTTTAAACCGCTGTACAGCTCACCAACTGGAAGCTGGCCGAGGCGGTGCGTACCTAGTCAAGTCAAGTGAAAAGTGGATTGAAGTCCTCCTACGCAGCTGTGCTAAGCGGGGTATCGCAGGTCAACCTGTTCATGGAGAGCGGCGGCCAGAGCGCCAGCACGGCGTTCGCGCCCCCGCGGCAGCCCGCGGCCCGCGCCGGCGGCTCCAGCTTCAGTCCGCCGCCGACCGCGCCGTCCTCGGACATGGACGCAGCCACCGCTGCAGCCATCGCCGCCGCCTACGGAGAAGAGTGCGTGCGTCCGCGCGCGTTCGGCAACTCTGCTGGTCGCTGACCTACTGTCCTGTGCTCCTATGGGGGTCTCTCTGTGTGCTGCAGTGACAACGCGGTGCGCGCGCCCGACCCGTCCAAGCGCCAGCGGCTCGTGGAGTCGGAGATGGACCTCCGTGCGTGGACCGAGGAGGCCGAGGCTTTGGCCGGAGGACGCTCAGGACTGACGCTGCTGCTTGTTACTGCTGCTTGGTGCTGTTGTTGTTGTGTGTGACTGCAGTGCGGCCCATGCGCCACCTGCGCGACCAGAACCGCGACTTCGCGGCCGAGAGCATCGCGGCGATGACGGCCGGCAGCATCTCCACGGCCTTCGGAGGCCCCGGCGCCGCGGCGTTCGGTGAGGCCAGCAACGACGCGAACGGATCCGCCAACAACGAGCGCACGCGCGATCTGAGCACGCTCTTCCAGCCGCCGACCGCCATCATGTTCCAAGGAACTTACGCCGACGTGCGTACTGTAGCTGCCAGTGTGGTCTCTTGTGCTTATGGTGGCAATGACGCTGATGCAACACCGGTTTTGCGGCGCTGTAGGCTCGCACGCTTGCCAAGAACGAGGGCAAGTGGCTGCTGGTGAACATCCAGGACGAGATTGTGTTCACCAGCCACATGCTGAACCGCGACACGTGGAGCGACGACGTAGTCCAGAATCTTGTTGCCAGCGGCTTCGTGTTCTGGCAGGTACGCCGATTCGTGCTATTGCTGTGCTATCGACTCGGGGTCTGAGAGGCGCTTGCTTACTCAAAAGTTCTTGAATTCGCGACCCTGGATGTGTGTGTAGAACTATTGGGCGTCGGAGCACGGCAAGAAGTTTTGCAGCCTCTACCAGATTGACCGCGACTCGCTTCCGGTCGTGGTGATCATTGACCCGCGAACAGGAGAAATCCGGCAGCGCTGGACAGGGTTCCTCGAGCCGCAGGATATGACTGAGAAATGTACGCTTATCGTCGTTGTTGTTGGGATGCACCAAAACTGGAACTGATGTCTGTAATTTGTTGTTGCTTTTTGTAGTGTCGGACTTCTGCTGTATGCACACGCTCGATGCACCGCCGACCGAGCAAAAGAAGGCATGAATAAGCACGCCAAGTCAGTTTCACTGTTTAAGCTTGCACTCAGAATTCTCCTACTTTTTGCCTGTTTGCCGCAGGAAGCGGAGCCGAACATTATGGATGCATCCGAAGATGATCAGCTCGCTGCAGCGATTGCCGCGTCGATGCAGGATAACAATGGGGGAAGCGACGATGACGAGGCGAAGGAAGCGGACGATGACATGGACGAGGAAGAAAAGCACGAGGAGGAGGCACAGGATCCAGTTGTGGCGTTGACACCAGAACCCGATGGTTTGTTAAACATGCTGTATATGCCCTTCTTGAGAGCCGTGTATAACTTCGTTGTGCCTGCCGTAGCTGGGGCTCCTGATGTGACTCGAGTTCAAATTCGCGTACCCGATGGAACTCGCTTAACGCGGCGTTTCCTCAAGACTGACCCCCTCGCAATGGTGTGGACATTCGTCAAGGATCAAGTTCCTGAAGCTCGAGGACGAGCGTTCGAGTTGCGTACTGCCTTTCCTCCGAGCGCCGTGGCCTACAATGACACGTTGTCCATCGAGGAGGGCAAGCTCGAAAACGCGTCACTCATGGTCAAATGGCTGTGAGCTTTGGAGGGAACCGCGACACTATTCCTACAGGAAATTTTTCGTGGGGGGGGGGGGGGCAGAGCTAATCATGCCGATATTTGCTATGACGGCACTCCTATCCTCTCGGTATTTGCTGATGCGCAGTGGGTGTGCTGTGCTGTTCAGTTGCGATCCTACAAGTCCAAACAGCGAGCGCAACAGCATAATAATGAACGAAACTGCGTCTTCGATTTTGCGGTAAACCTGTTTGTCTACTCTAAGCTGTGTTCCTTCACTTTCGTATGCAATATGCAAGGCGTGCACATTAGGCACGGGTTTGGCGCTTTTGCAGGGCCACAACCACGAGGAATCGGAAAGCCAACAGGAAAAGTCCGAGCTCGACGAGGCGAAACGCTACACTGCCTCGCTCAGCGCCGTATTCGAGCTCTGCGTAAGTGCGCACCGTGAGCTGCTGCTGGCTGAAGTTGTTCTCCTCTGACGGAATCAAACGCAGCTCGCGGCATGGGATTTCTCTGTCGTCACCACTAGCGCCTCCTTCGACACTGTCGTAAGCGCACGAGTCAGGGACAGCACCGAACACAAGCGCCTGCAGCACTTGAAGCGCAAAATGCTGCGGAGTCAGCATCATAAGCCACGAGACCAAGCTGCCCAGCGCACTGCTCCTCCAGGACCACACGAAGGTCGACAACGGCAGCAAATTGATGGCAGCTCCAGCAACAGCCGCATAACTCGCGCTTGACACCAGCCTCACAAGCCACTGGCCTAGGTACACTTGTCCAAGAGCGAAGACACTGAGCGTCAGCCAGTACAGCGAGAAGTTGCCGCTCTCAGCGACCGACCAGAAGCCGAAGAGTGTGAAGATGAGCACTGCCACAACAAACGCGACCGCCAACGCGAAGACCAGCTCCACCACGCTGGAGCAAAGGTGGTAAGCCACCTCTGGATACGCTTGCCAAGCGCGTTCGCGGCGCCAAGAAGCATTCTCTCGCCAGGCGTTTCCACGACTAGCCCTAGCAACTGCGCCGAGCACAAGGCTAGCTCCAACCATCAGCGTCGACCACGCGATGAGCGATGCGCCTTGGTTCACTCCGTCGAAGGTGTCGTACTCAGTACTTCTCGCCGCGACAACGAGCCACAAGAACGACAACAACACCGCCAGGAACACGCCCATCACGCTAACGCGCTGCCACTGCGCGGTCGTTGACGCCGTGACTGAGCGAGACGTCCAGAGTGAAGATAAGCTACGCCAGTACGATACCACCACGCGACGCATGAGCAAAGTCACCTGCGTTCGCCACGAAGCTGCGTACGCCAATAGACTTCCGCTCTTGTACGCGAGGATGAGTGCCGGTGCGTGTTTCTCTGCTGAGTTGGGGCGCAGATAGCCCACGCGCTGCATTTGCGAAAGCAACGCGCGCTTGGCCTCGCTGCGCTGGAATAGCTGCACGAACCGAGTCTCCTTCTCGTGGTTGGTAGTCTCTGAACCAGTCGACATCGAGGACCCGCTCGCGTATTTTTTCTTCTTCGTGCTTGAGCGCGCCTTGCCTGTCCTGGTCGTCGTCGTCGTTGTCGTCGTTGTCGTGTGCAAGTTCGAGGAGCTTTCGCCCACATTTTCAAGCGCCCATGCTGCGATGCTCTTGCCACAACTACCGAATTTCTTCACGCCGGGAAGTGCTTCCAAGTACTGCACAAGCATGCGGCTCTCTCCGTGGAAGATCGTCTCGCCACGGCTCGAGAGCAGTAGTAGCCGATCGAACGCTCGCAAGTCGGTGGAGGACACCGAATCGCCAAGAGTGCACACAACCGTGCGACCCGTGTAGGCCACCTGCTGCAGCAGTCGAACAATTCGCTTCGCACCCGTCTCGTCCAGACCAGTCGTAGGCTCATCCACAAGCAGCACGCTTGGCGAGAACGCAAGCTCGACTCCGATTGCCACGAGGCGGGTCTCCACGGCGGAACACAGCTCCAAGGGCTGCTCAGCCAGCTCGGTAAGTCCTAGCAGCTCCAGCCAAGACTGAACTGCCTCGAGCTTGCGGCTATCGGAGGTCTCGCTGTCTTGGCGTAGACTCGCACTCAGGACCAAGGCTTCGTGGACGGTGGTCGTTCCATGCCAAACGGTTTGCTCGCCACCAAACCAGCAGTACCCTGTGGCGCGGCGTCTCACCAGAGCGCTAGCTTCATGTCCATTGTAGTAGATGTTGCCCTTGGTTTGATTCTCCTCGCCAGCCAGTGCGCCTAAGAAGGTAGCCTTGCCGACTCGGCCTGCGCCAATCACTGCGGTCATCCTTCCCGACTCCGCATAGCCAGTGGCATCTCTCACAGCATTGCTATGCGCCCCACTACGTTGGGCAGCACACGCAAGTTCGTCGAATGCCACTCTAATGGAGTACCCACGACGAACTGCCAATATCTGCACCCCCTTGCTCGTGCTCGCGGTTTCGGCGGATGTGCCTCGGGCGTGCTCAAGCTCTTCCCCCCAAGCAGCTGCAGCGCGAGCGGTTTGTGCGTGCTCGTTCTCCTCGGTGGCAAGTGAGGTCACATTAGAGTCTTCCACTACATACTTTCCAGCACGTTTAGACCTCCGAACCGCCTTCTTGCTACTCGAAGATGTTTCACCACCAGCCTTTGACACAGTTCTCGCTGCGACCACTGATGCTGCGGCCATATCATCAGCAGTTCGACTTGCCGTCATTGCATCTCGTGAATTTGAACCAGCCTGCTCCGTCACGCTCACGGCGGTAGCGTCCGACGCAGACGTCGTCGTGAGGCTGCTCTCCTCCGTCTCCGTCTCCTCGCGAGTCTCCGTCGCCACCGTCGTGCTCGTCGTGCCGTCCGTGGACTCGGTCTCCGTGGTCGTCTCCACCTCGATCGTCGTCACCAGCGCGCCCGTGCTAGACTTCACGGTGCGCCTCGTCGTGCGGATCGTCTTGGTCACGATGCTGCCGTCGGCCTCCTCTGAGCGGAACACCTCGGTCTTCACCGACTCGCCCGGCGACGAGCCAGCCTGCTCCGTCACGCTCACGGCGGTAGCGTCCGACGCAGACGTCGTCGTGAGGCTGCTCTCCTCCGTCTCCGTCTCCTCGCGAGTCTCCGTCGCCACCGTCGTGCTCGTCGTGCCGTCCGTGGACTCGGTCTCCGTGGTCGTCTCCACCTCGATCGTCGTCACCAGCGCGCCCGTGCTAGACTTCACGGTGCGCCTCGTCGTGCGGATCGTCTTGGTCACGATGCTGCCGTCGGCCTCCTCTGAGCGGAACACCTCGGTCTTCACCGACTCGCCCGGCGACGAGCCAGCCTGCTCCGTCACGCTCACGGCGGTAGCGTCCGACGCAGACGTCGTCGTGAGGCTGCTCTCCTCCGTCTCCGTCTCCTCGCGAGTCTCCGTCGCCACCGTCGTGCTCGTCGTGCCGTCCGTGGACTCGGTCTCCGTGGTCGTCTCCACCTCGATCGTCGTCACCAGCGCGCCCGTGCTAGACTTCACGGTGCGCCTCGTCGTGCGGATCGTCTTGGTCACGATGCTGCCGTCGGCCTCCTCTGAGCGGAACACCTCGGTCTTCACCGACTCGCCCGGCGACGAGCCAGCCTGCTCCGTCACGCTCACGGCGGTAGCGTCCGACGCAGACGTCGTCGTGAGGCTGCTCTCCTCCGTCTCCGTCTCCTCGCGAGTCTCCGTCGCCACCGTCGTGCTCGTCGTGCCGTCCGTGGACTCGGTCTCCGTGGTCGTCTCCACCTCGATCGTCGTCACCAGCGCGCCCGTGCTAGACTTCACGGTGCGCCTCGTCGTGCGGATCGTCTTGGTCACGATGCTGCCGTCGGCCTCCTCTGAGCGGAACACCTCGGTCTTCACCGACTCGCCCGGCGACGAGCCAGCCTGCTCCGTCACGCTCACGGCGGTAGCGTCCGACGCAGACGTCGTCGTGAGGCTGCTCTCCTCCGTCTCCGTCTCCTCGCGAGTCTCCGTCGCCACCGTCGTGCTCGTCGTGCCGTCCGTGGACTCGGTCTCCGTGGTCGTCTCCACCTCGATCGTCGTCACCAGCGCGCCCGTGCTAGACTTCACGGTGCGCCTCGTCGTGCGGATCGTCTTGGTCACGATGCTGCCGTCGGCCTCCTCTGAGCGGAACACCTCGGTCTTCACCGACTCGCCCGGCGACGAGCCAGCTACCATCAATGCATCCGCAGTATACGTCGTGTACGTCGTGGTCTCCGGGGATCCT